ACTTTTAGAAGCCTTAAATAATTTCTTTTGCTACAAATTTATTTTACCAACGAAGCCCCAAAGCACCCTAAAAGCCCACTCTACATTCAGTGATCCCTGGGCATATAAACCAAGATCCTCAACTTGATATCCTAAATCCCTACACAAGCAAGCATTTGGGCTGTCAGTAAAGCAGTCTGCTCACGGAACAGCACGTGCCGATCCCCTTGTAACCCCTGAGCACCTCTGAGACACACCGCCTTTTTTGTGCTTAGGTGTTTATTGCATTTCTGAAGACTTTGGCCAGGATAAATCTGTTTGATAGATTTATCAAATCTTGTCTTGACAGAATAAAACAGCTTTAGCATTTCAGACGGCGCCGCTGTTCAGAAGTAACAGTCGCTGTTGTACTGCTGGTATTCCCTGACTTGCACCAAAACTGAGGCGATGTATGTGGGCAGAGCTAGGGGCTGAGGTGACGTGAGGACCTACAGGATAACAAACCAACCAAAGCACTGGTTGCTATGTAAAAAGAGAGTTCAGGGTTCAGTAAGACAAAGTGACTCAGGTGTTTCTCGGTCTTTGCACACCGGATCAATTACTGGTCACACTTTCATGTGCCGGGGAAAAGGAACAAACAAGTAATTTCTTTATCTTGATACCATTTTTTATATGTTTTTAGCGAGGAAGAACAAGGCACTGAAGAATTCAAACCAGATAATGCAATGCAGACCTAGAGAACAGTCCTGCAGAGGTCATGAGAGATATGATGGGTGGCTGAACGCTACTTACAGCTGGAAAATCCGATTGCTGTACAGAGAGAGAGCATGCTGCCTGAGACTTCACAAGCAGCTGGCCTGTATGGAAGTTACAGCTCCCACTGTGCTCCCTTTGCCACTTCAGAAAAGGCAGGAAAGCACGAGGCAACTGGCTGCATAAGTCATACCCCGGTTGTGTCTGTCCTTCAGTGCAACTCAAGCGAGTGCAGCAACTTCAACGGAACACCTAGGAGAGTACTGTTTGCTGCAGGTATGCAGTATTTTCAAAGATGTCAGTGGAAATTGGTGTAGATTTTTTAACATTAGTGTGGCCTTAAAGCAGAAATGAACTGAGTGTATTTCTTTTGATTTGAAAAATAATCTCCGTCTCCGTGTATATGTGTAAATATGTATAAATAAAAGTTGCACTACGAAGCAGAATCTTCTGAGAAAGCCAGCAGGAAAAAAAAGAAAATAAATTTCAGCTCACAGTGTTCTGTACATCAGAATTAAACTTGAGACAAAAGAAAACTTGAGTCTAGGTACACAGGAGATGTTACTGCGTGCCCTGGACGCGCACTCTTTATATAACCGGCTCCAAGAATGGAGCGTTCCACCGCTTGGTATTTGAGGTTTGACTTCACATTGTTCAGCTTGTTACTGCAGGCAATTTATAACGCGGCGGGTGAGATCATTCCATCCTAGCGAGGGCAGGTAGCAGCTTGCAGGGGGTTCTCGCTCCGACAGCGATCTCAGAAGCACACCATCCCCAGTCCTCACTCAACGAGCTCTTTTTCTCCAGCATGCTGACCGCCCACACACATCTTGGCAAAATTAACATTTGCAACGAAGGCTTTTACTGTCCAGCTGCTGGTGAGTGGTGAAGCAAACATCGCCCTCGCTGGCCGTTATCCAGCAGGCTTCATACCAACCACTGTAATCTAGAACCTTCACTTTCTTCAATACCTCGGATGTTTATAACACCGGTGCCCCTCTCCCCGTTTCATTCTGTGGTTAATCAAGGCTGACGAACTGCCCCTATGCTGACCCTGAGGTTGGGTGGACACAGCGCTCTCAGCTTTGTGGGCCAAGGGCCACACAGCATGATACGAACCGGTAGATCTGGGCTGCTGTACTCACACACATGCTGGGAAGGCAAGCTCTGGCACTGAAGGCTCCCAGCAGAAACCGCCATGCTTCGAACCGTATAAATCCAGGGAGCTGCAGGAAACTCCATCACGTCTTCCGTGGGACTTGAAACTCGTTGAAAGGAGGACTGTTCCCTCAGGTCCCTTTTACAGTCGCGTTTTCCACACGTCAGCGTAGTATTTTAACACAAAAGCACAGTTGAGCGCTTGACGTTTTCTTCCATTCCAAGCGACCCCAAAATACTTTATATGCCATAAAATTTGCACCAGGATGGCTGGGAAGAGTCAGCTGCAGGCTTTAGGACCGCAGGAGGCTACTCCAGGTTAAAGGGAAGGGCAGGAGTAGCCGGCTCTGAGCACAGCCCCTGCTCTTTCAGCTGGCTGGTTCCTCCAGGCCGGTCCCTCGAGAAGCCCCGTTACAGGTGCTTCAGAGAACCAGCCCAAGGACCAGCCCGTCACAGGCTCCACAATGCCCACTACGCGTCGTTGCAGAGGCAGCGTCACACAGGGGACTGCACGCACCCAGGTTTTCAAAACGGCATCTTAAGATGCTAGAACTTTGCCCTCCAGTGTAAGACACCATTGAATATTTAGTTCCTTTAGGGGATTAGGGATGCAGTAAAATGAAAACAAAATGCATCAAAATAAAAAATAATTAAACATTGGTAGATGAAAGATGACAAGTGTTCAAAAGCACTCTGACATAAGAGCATTTTTAAAATTAACTGTAGAAAGGTGGCAGTGTTTGAAAACAGTCGTTTAATTGTTCAGGCTCTGGAACCAAAAACCATCAGGAATTAAATACCCAAGTGCAGATTTCGCTACGAAGAACAACATGCCAGCCCCACTGCACTGAAAAAACCCAAGGGCCAGAATCAAAGAGAAAACAGCAAAGAATTGCCACTGTATTAAAAACAGGAGTATTAAAAGGGGTTGGAACTAGATGATCTTTAAGGTCCCTTCCAACCCAAACCATCCTATGATTCTAAAACCAGGCAAGCCACCACAGCCCCAAGAAAGCAGGGCACCCCTTCTTTAGCAGCCTGCTTCCCCACATAAGAAAGAGGGTACTGGGGTATGTGTCACTGGACTGTGTGCCTGACCTGAGCAAGTAGCTCTGTTCGCAGTTGTTAATGAGTCCTTACAAGATGTTGTAAGTAAAACGGTTTCCAAGCTTCCAGTCTCACCAAATTAATCCACTATATCAGAGCCAAGCTGAGAACCTTACAGTTAACGCACCAGGGCAAGTCCTGTCCACAGGGATACCAGGACCTTTCCCTCCAACTGACTACAGGAGTGCACGTGGAGATTTTGGCCTCGCAACTACAACCGAATAAACTGGACAGTTGCTGACGAACAGCGGGAACACGCTACGCAAGATGTTCACACAAAACCCACAACCCTTATTATTAAGCAAACACAGTTCTACGCCTACCAAAAGGACTGGCTGAGACAGGAGGTTATCCTCTCAACAGCTTCTGAAGAGCCTTAAGTCACAGGCAAGGGCAAACAACGCAGCCCAGCTGAGGTTGAGCACTCCCTTACACACACCTTGCTAACAGGCCTCGAAAGCTGCTTAGACCTCCTTTGCTACTACAACACGAGCAACACCCCACTAAGTTGTCTCACATATTTCATTTAAGCTCCTCAGTTAAAATATGCTCAGATAACAGGAGAGCCCGATTTTGACTGAAATGCATTTATCTTTAGCAGCTTTGTTACTGTCCTCACCATCTGGGTCATATTTTTCAGGACCCCGAACCCAAGACAGAATTGGGTGCACCAGCACGCTGAGGCTCTCATTAGAAAGGCTCCCGTAGCTGCTGAAGAAGGTGAGCGAACCGTTGCCCAAGTTACTGATGGGAATGCTGCTCACCTACTGACACAACAAAACGTCTCCGAGACGATGTACGTGTAACCCCCCGACGGGACTCCAAGGAAGGAGCGCGCGTGGTTCGCTTTCAGTGCTTTGCTTTACAGCATCATTCTGGCAGACAGATCACACGGTGACTTTTTAGGTTTTAAACGCTTGGTTCTTTTGTCCAAGTACCCACAAACTGTGTTTAATGGAAGCCAAATCACTCTTAGTGAAAGGGCAAAGATGGAAGGGCTGTTCAAACAGGGAACTATCACGGTATCAGGCCAGGACAAGGCTGTCATACGCAGCTTCTGAAAAAGACAACAATTTGAGGAAATAGCCATAAAAATACAAATTTGCTTCATGTTGCAATGACACATTCAGGTATTTTCCAACATTCTGCCAAGACTGGAGGTTACTTAACTTTTCTGTCTTTGCATCACCATCAGAGCTGAGTACCTTTGAGCTTGTCTGATCTCCAAGTCTGGACTGCAATACGTATGCCCTTTGTGAATGCCTCTCCTGGCAGCACCACACAGCAGCGACGGTTCGTACTGTGGCAGTATTAAGAATTCCTAGTTAAGGCTCAAAGCTTCATTTTTTCATGCATTTTTCCTCTAGCAGCATAACATACTAAGATAAACGAGATGGTCACTATGGGACATGACGATAATAAAAAAAAAAAAAGATATGTTCAAAAATTTAGCAATTTGGAAAGGCTAAACAAAACCAACTCCCCCTCTCAATTCCCACACACAAAGAAAACAAGATTTTATTCTTTTTTTATAGTCCAACATGGAACGCACATCCAGAGAAGATAAACAGGTTAGTGAACAGCTCCATCTAGTGTAAACCCAATCTAGGGTCGGCAGAACTGGTCATGCAGCAGTGAGCTCACCAGACAGGTACTGCCTATTCTGAAGCATGTGTAAGTTCATTAAAGCTCCTCTTCTATTCAGCCGTAGGAGCAAAGTCCAGCTGTACATCATTTTTCATTTATCACTTATTTGGAATGGTAACAAGCTACTTTCAAAGTTTTCAAGTTCTCAGTCCCTAAGATAAACAAAGGAAATGCTCTTTTAAACAAGTCTGCACGAACAAACTCCCAAGAAAAACATTGTTACACTCGTTCTTGGTTTAAAGCAAACAAAAGAAAGCCCTTTCAGTGGTAGAGGGGACTCACCTACTGGTCATACCCTTCCAGGTTTTATATTCACACCGCTCTAGGCCATGTGACAAAAGAGAGAAAAAATCTTGGGAGTTAACATAGCCCAGAAATTTATTGAACAATTGGTCAAAGACATTCTGTATAGAACTGTTCAGCTTGCTTGGTTTTGGTGCTCCTAGGAAAGATCACTAACAGATACACTGAGCTGTATTAACCAGCTTGGAATTGTTACGTATGAAAGCGTTAAGCAGGTGGCTGCAGCCTCCTTCTGGCCAGACCTGTGTCTGAATCTGACTAGCACCTTGCCTTCAAGAAGGATTCAATTTGTGTAAGTTGCTGCATCAAATGTTATTTAGAAGAGCCTTTCACATATTGGTCTTTTTTAAATGGTAAAACACTTGGGGTATTTGCATTTGAAGTTTTCAATACTGGAAACATTTAGTCCAGAGTGTTTGCAATGGGGGTCTTTAATTTTTCATATGGTCTGTCTCTTCTCAATGTCCCAGAATAATTAGTCTTCGGTTTTGGCTTCCATTTCCTCGGCATCATCATCCCCATCCACTTCAGCATTTTCCCTCTCCAGTCTTTCCAACTGCCTTGCAAGCTCAGTCTCATCTGTGTCAGTAACCACCTTAGGCTGAAAAAATACCCAAAACAGAACACATGGTAAACCGTCATTAAGAAAGACTGACTGTAGTTCTGATCCTACCCAAACCCAAAGAGCAAGAGATAAAAGACATCCTGAAGTCACACAGTAAAACCCAAGAAAATTAGAATTTTTGGCCATTGTTTAAGAAATACAGAAATGTAGGGATTTTTTTAGTTCAATACTTCTTTGTTAAAATTACTCCTAGCACTACCCATCTTGTCCAACTTTAAAACAATTGCAAGGAAAAAACCCCATAAAATTACACTTTAGAATGTAATGTGTTCTTACCTCCATCTGCACATTAAAGACACCTCTCTTCTCCTCAATTTTTTCTTTAATTACAGCCATGGCTTGATTTAGAACAGAGAGACCTTCGGTTCTCTCCAGTGTTGTTGTAGTCATCACATAACGAGGAGGGGCTATCAGATTAATCTATCACATTGTAGGGATTGGGGAGAGTGGGGAGAAAAAAGCAAATTCAGTAGCAAACCCAAAGAAAAATCCCCAAAGCAAAGCAAGCAATGCTTTACTGAATGTACAATTCACAGAAGAAGAAACATTTTCCCATTAGAAAAGCCCTTTTTAGGAGTACATACAAAGAGACAGAAAGAGCAGACAAGAGAGTGCACAGCCTGTCTGATTTCCAACATCAGCATCAGCTATTTCATAGATTCATAGAACAGTTAGGGTTGGAAGGGACTTTAAAGATCATCTAGTCCCACCCCCCCTGCCATGGGCAGGGACCCCTTCCACTAGACCAGGTTGCTCAAAGCCTCATCCAGCCTGGCCTTGAATACTGCCAGGGATGGGGCATCCACAGCTTCTCTGGGCAACCTGTTCCAGTGCTTCACCACCCTCTCCGTGAAGAATTTCTTCCTGATATCTAGTCTAACCCTCCCCGCTTTCAAGTTAAACCCGTTCCCCCTTGTCCTGTCACTACAGGCCCTTGTAAACCGTCCCCTCCCAGCTTCCTGGTAGCCCCTTCAGGCACTGGAAGGTGCTATAAGGTCTCCCCGGAGCCTTCTCTTCTCCAGGCTGAACAAGCCCAACTCTCTCAGCCTGTCCCCATAGTAGAGGTGCTCCAGCCCTCGGAGCATCTTCGTGGCCTCCTCTGGACTCGGTCCAACCAGTCTATATCCTTCTGATGTTGAGGGTTCCACAGCTGGACACAGCAGTCCAGGTGGGGTCTCAGGAGACCTGAGTACAGGGGCAGAATCACCTCCCTCGACCTGCTGGCCACGCTTCTCTGGATACAGCCCAGGATACGGTTGGCTTTTCTGCATAGTATGTTTATTTAGACAAATACTGTTAAGCAGAGAGAATACCCACTCTGCAGATCAGTAAAGCAGCCCATCACTTTAATTTTTTCAAACAATTTAAAGACTGCAACAACCAGTATGATAGTTTTTCGTTTGTTTCTTAAGATGACTGAATAAGTAAACTTTTCCTTTTGTTACAAGAAACCATTATAAGAAAGGATTTTCAACGGAGTAAGTACTTCCAAGTTTTTTGAAAACACTTCTTCAGTAATGCACCCAATAGTGTAACACTGGTGGGCAGAAAAACCAGGTACAGCAGACATTCTACCAACACTCAAACACATGCGGACCAAAAATTCGTTTGCTTACGTAATCTGACAATAAAATACCTGACAATAAAATCTGTTGCTCCCTACTTAAGGCTGCATAAAGGAGCAGTATTAAAGCCAATACTAGACTTTAATACATTGAACCAAATATATACAGCTCCGTGAAGTTGGGAAGCCACAGGAGCAACCAGCAGCACAGAGTGGAAAGGATGTGTTATGTGCCTCCTAAAGAAGGATCAGAAAGCAAGTACATGGCTTCCCAGCCTCAGCTACGCATCTGTCACAACTGCAACTGCACACTACTGGTACCTGAGTGCATCAGAAAACTTGGCTTTTGACTTCCCTGTTAAGACAGACACTTACTTTAATAGGCATGTTCTCCGTGGAACAGTTCAAGCCTGCTCTCAAAGCTTCTTTTACTGCATCTATCCCTTCATAACCATAACAGGCAACCTCAATATCTAGGACAGAGGAATAAAAATAATAAAACTTTAAAGTTACCAAAAGCTGTAGAATCATTAAAGCTTTTTTACTTCATATTTAATAAAGCTTTTTAGCATCCAGTGTTTATCCACAATGAGAGCCTCAGAAGCTCCCAGAGCTGAGGAAGGTATTTCACTTTCTTGACTTACAAGCTGAGTTCTTCATAAATTCTTCAGATGTACAACATTTTACATTGTGCTTTGAAAAGCCAAAATATGAAGTTACATACCCACATTCACTCACCTCTCACACAGCAAATAATTATATGTATTTCATAGGGAAAGCTGAAGATACGAAAGAAATAGATCTTACATGTTCTCTGATATTTATCAGGAAAAATGAAACTTGAGAAAGAGCACATCCACAAATTAATGGAATTCTGTCAGCAATTACAACAGAGGCATCACTTGAGGAGCACTGAATTATTTTTTCTTTAAGGTAAGTTGCATTAACATATAGTTAAAGTGATAGCTAGCTATAGTATTTTTGTAGATGTTTGGAAAATCAGACATATACTAGTGCTGGTCACATCTGTAATACCCCCATTAGTCTAAAGACAAAGATGTCTTTACCTATGTAACACTGGTGCAAAACTAAGCTGCAGGGAGAAGTTAGTCTCACTTCTATGTGACTAACAGCCACCTGCTAGTTCTAAGCTGTCATAAACAAATTCACAGAAGAGCATCCCAGTCAGTCTCAGGATGAGACTACAAGCCAACGGAGAATTTCTACACTTGCTTTGAAAACAAGATTAAAACCAACTTAGATCATCACAACAAAATAGGCAAGATGAAGGAAGTAAGAGAACATGCTTGCCAAGTAACTTTATTTTCAAAACTAATGAAGTGCTATTTATGTTAGCAATTTCATTCTTCATGGCAGTCAAATCTCACAATTTTGAAGTCTATGTTAACTCACGGTGATCTAAAGTAATAGGTAAAGGAACTTTCCATTACCTTACTTCTTGCACTCTCTCCTTGACTTCACTTACATGTGGATATGGCTTATCTTTTCTTCTCTGCACAGTAATCAACCAGTGCTAATGCTCTTCAATACACCCTTGCAGAGCAGAGGCAATTTCTCAATCTAGTTAAAAAACATGACTGTGCTACACTTACTATCTATTTAATGGCAAGCAAGCTTTTAGGCTGTTCGGTTAGCTGTACAACCAGATTTACACTTGTAAAGTACATGTTCATAAGTAGCGCAGGTGTGTCCTTTCTCTGCCTGCACTGAGCTCATAAGAGACAAACTGGCTCAAGCACTTTATGAATACAATAGACGTGTGAGGCTTAAGCTAACATATCCTGCTGAGAGGTTTGCCATCAGCCAGTTAGAAGTACACCCAGAGGAAAGTCAGAACTACTTTCATAAGATCATGGACAAGTGGCTAAGACATATGCCCTAGCTCTGCTGACAGGAATCAATCATCCTGTTAGAACACCAAAAAAATTAAACACTTTGAACAATGAAAAAGAATATTGTAATGCAGCAGTAACTTTAAAGTATTTTAATTCCTTGTGTACGAGTGCAATATGATAGACTGCACTACATACTGGGACATGTACTTTGTGTCCCTAAGAATCTGCAGTTCGGGGGGAAAAAAAATGAAAGCCAAACGGCCTTGGACTCTTGAGACAGAACCAACATAGGCATTCTGCAAGTGATCTCTGATTAAAGTGTCTGTGCTGGGTTCAGTCAGGAAAGAGTAAACTCCCTTTACCGTGGCTGCTAGAAAGCTGAGTTCCTGGATGCAGAGAGCAGCACTGGTAAGTTCTCAGCTGGCGCTGGGGAATGCCTGCACCAGATTCAAGGTCTTTCTCTGCTTCTGACACCGCAGCTGCGTCCCCAGTGCTCGCTGTCTCACTACAGGCAGCGCAGGGGACACACAGTTCAGGCACCTGACCCAAACTGACCAAGGGAGTATTTCATGCCATAGTACGTCATGCTGGGGGCAGAGGCGAGAA